AAGGGTGCTGTCACCGGGAAACCGGCCCCGGAGCACACAGTCCAGTCCGTTCCTCCGTTTCCAGTTCCACCCGGCTCTCCTCCAGCCCTGGGGAAGCCACGGCGAGAGCCAGGCTGTCCCGTGTCCCGCGAATCTGAATTCTAACTGAATCTATTCGTGGGGAAGGGGCAGGGTTTTTCCACGGGCAGTTCCTCCAGCTCCTTCCTTAAGCCAAGATGAGAACTCGAAACAAATATCTGCAAAGAGAACAGACCCGATCCCGCACCGGTTCCAGAACGACTCCCCTCCGAGTCGGTTGTTGCTTTCCCATAACAATATTTGAATGCTAAGGAAATGAGATTGCAAAATCACATGTTAATGAGAAAGTATGGGTTGAAAAGGAGATAAGAAATCAAAGGTTTGGTTTTAAATGTCCCAGCCTTTAAGCTATTGCTCTGTAATCAGCAGAGATTCTCCAGGAACCAGGGCGACGTCTGTGATCGGATTCCTGACAGCCCGTGCCGCTCAGCCGGCAGCAGGGCCCGGCGTACCTACCCTACCGGTAGTAGGTACTACGAGCAGCGGTGCTTTCTGCTCTAATTTGAGAGGACTTATGACTCACTAATGTAATGTCTCATGTCTCTTTCTGTTTCCATATAAGTGCAGCTGGTAGCTGATAGGAAAATGGAATTGTGCGGTCTTGGGAAAGTTTAAAAAAGAAAAAAAACACACAAGACTGTAATAATAACATCACTTTGTTGTCACTTCAGACCTATGTTACCAAAACATTACAGTTGTGATCATAGCTACGTCTAAATTTCTGTATTTTCACGTTTTTCCCATCCAGCACTGTTGATTTCATCGGAAGCTGCTATTTCACCGAGATCTGCAAATGCAAGCTGAAGAACATCGCGTGCTTGAAGTGGTAAGAACGCCGTTGGGCGACGCGAACGCATCCCCGAGCAGGCGTGCGCTGCCACAGTGCTGCTCAACCCTCTCGCTGCAGACGACGGCAGTGCAAGAGTTAAGGGGCGAATGAACAGATCGCACACTCTATTTCGGATTTAATGCTGCTTGATGGAAACTCAACCCGCTACTTCTGGGCATGGCTGCCAGGCTATTTCCGTGCAAGCCCCAAGTGGAAATGTGACAACCTTGTCAGTAGTCTGAGGGGAAAGCTTGCGTGCCACCTGCCTGATTAAATGTCTGCTTCAACACTGAGATAATCCTGTGAATAAGGCTGCAGCAAGAAGTAGTTACTCATATTCTAATTAATAGAACATCCTCTTGGCAGATCTAGTTGTCGCTAGCAGATGGAACATGCTGTCACTAAAGTTCTTGGAGTTCTTTTATCCTCTTTATTAATGCCTGATATTTAAGAGTAAAAACAACAACATCTCCTAAATAGCTCACAGTTATTTGAGATGATCCTTCCGGCTTCACAATCGAGACTTTTACCTTGTTCAGATTTAAACAGTGGGGGGTTGCGATAGGAACACAGCATTTTATTTTTTAGACAGAAATAGAGAAACAGAAATATCTCACTCATGAGACTGAGAAAGTAGAAAAATAGCCGTTCTACGTTTCAACCCAGGAGAGTATATAAGGCTTCGATATTCTCAGTCTCTTTACTCCTACTACTGACTCTCCTGTGCACAATGCTCCTGTACAGATGGATTTTATGTTCGTGATGAATTTCTACATTGACTCCAATGGAATCACTGGCCTTCCAAAAAAAAAAAACACCACCCCACCATTTGTTGGTATGTAAACTAATCCGGATTACACAATTTAGGTTACTAAATGGTTCTCTATGCCAAAGATCTAAAACTCAGATATTCTGTAACTCCTGACAGATGTTCCCTAAATATTTAACATGCTTCTTTAACTATGTTCCCTTAACTTTATCAAAATAAGAGCATTACATAATGGTCTGGTACTGTGGGTATTTAACATATGTTTGAGCTGGAAAAGCCAGCAACATCTATCTTTCTATCAGACGTTTGCACTGCTCATTATTTCACTTGTCTTTCCAGTGGTAACGTTGTTGGTTATCATGTGATTTCTCCCTGCAAACCTTGCCTGCTGTCCTGCAATAATGGCCACTTCTGGATGTTTCATAGCCAAGCAGTCTTTGGCATCAACAGACTAGACTCTTCTGGTAAGGAACACATGCTTCCTTCTCTTCCCCAAAATCTTGAATTCCTCCTTCTAATGAGGCATCTCAATGTAGCTGAAGCATATGGAGGAAGAGCAACATACGGAGGCGTAAGGCAAGTGTTACTGTACTGCTAATCTAGCCAGCTACTCTGAGGGAGGTAGTTGTAGCTACTTCAAAAATGAAAATTTCTAAGTGGAAATTCATCTTCAGAAAAATTAACCTACCCCTTTTGTGGGCAGAAGTCAGGATTTTCTGAAGCAATATTATAACTAGTACAAACACAGCCACCAGCTACTATTTCTAGCAGTACGTATGGCTTTACTGTGCTGTTAGGCAGCTGTCCAACGGGCACTTTTTTTAGGTGAGTCATGTCGTCATTTTGACCCTATATAACTGAGTCCTCATTAGCTCAAGCTGAAGTTACAGCTCATGCTAGCTAGTTTCTGCAGCTAGGTGTTGTCTGGATGCCAAGTGTCTACCATAATTTGCCCTGAGTCCTCGGGAGGTGCATATCACTGACAAATCATTCCTCCTCCTTGCAGATGGGAGTAACTTATTGCCTAAACCTTTCAGCATCACCTGTGTTTCAGATCAATGCATTTAAAAATAAATCAGCCATAAGGGATTTATCAATAGCTACAGGAATTAGCTATTTAAATACATCTGTGGGCAGGGACGTATTCTTTGAACTATGCTGTAAACAACACTTACAAAATCACTTTGCAAGAAAAATAGGAAATAGCCTAGATATATTTACAATGAACATGACTTACCAGGTTTTGTAGTGATTAGAGTAGTTATTTTCTCCAAAAATAGACAGCTGTGTAACTTAAAAATAAGGTCATAATCCAAAAATACTTTTTTTTTTTCCCCTCATTTGTTTTCTTACCTCCTTCCACCAGGTGTGAATGTATTGCTCTGGGGCAACTTGCCAGATTTAGAGGAAAGCACAGATGAAGATATGTCCTGCATCTCTGAGGAGGAGTATATCAGATAAATATTATCTAAAATATACTACAATATCTTCCCTAGATTTGTTGCATTGTTGTTTGATTTGGATTTTTTTTTTTCCTGCTGGCCTGTCAGAGCTTAAATAATACAGGAAACCAGGAAATCTGGAAAACAATCCTAAAAAAGGAAGGTATCATCTTCCTCTTTCACTGTAGCCTTCCTTAGACTCTTGAATTTGCCTAGTGTGTAGCTACTGACTAGAAACATGCCTTGGTTAGATCTGGAAACACAGATGGAAGGTGCATTTACTGAGGTCTAGGTCTGTTTTGTTTTTACATTTAAGTCTCAACAGTCGACAATCCTTCTTAACTGTATTTTTTCTTCTCTCCTAAAACAGTATTCACAGAGCAAATGTGCACAGTTGCTATAAGTACAGCTTAAAAATCTTAAGAAATAGTCGGTCTGGCTGATGAAGTTCTGAAAGAACTCTGCTTTTGTGGTCACACGGACCATTGCCCAGAGCTGCTATTCTGAGTATACAGAGTTGCTGAGTAAGTGGCTGCAAGTGTTGGAGCTTTGGCTCTGTGATCTGGCTCTCCTGCTTTTAGCAGCTTGTTCTCTGGGCACCTGAGGCATGCTAGGATGCTCCTCAACACAGGCTGGGGAGCTGTGCCAGAGTTCCCCTCTTCATCGCTCCGTACTCTTAGGATCATGTTCCTGCAGAGATCAAGTTCATTGTTTTCTCCTGATAAAACCTAAATACTGCAGCTACTTAACATCTATTAGAACTTCAAGACTACACTGGAGTTTTTTTTAAGGTTCACAATAAAATCCATCCAGCTTTAGGTGTTATTTTTTTCTCTGTATAGGATAGGCTTCCCTTCAAAACAGATCTCAGTCATCCAATTGGGTCTTTATAGAGAAACAAAAAAGAAATCAGGTTGAAAATTTGGTGTTCATGCCTAACCTTACATCCTGAAGCATACAGACAATCTGGTTCCTGTGAGAAGTAACAGATTCAAAGCTCATTATCTGAGTTGTTACAGCCATAGTATTTAACTGATGCGCTAAATACTGTCCCCTTCAGCTGGTCACCTGAAGGATCTCCTTTAGAAGATTCAAGGTACAATCATATAAGAGAACAGAGTACATTTTTAAATTTGGATTGATGCTGAATAAATGGTTCTATAGCCTCTTGTGATGCGTGGAAGAGGTGCAATGAAGGCAGATCTCAATTGTCTTTTTACTGTGTTATATATTAATTAACGGTACTACCTCTTCTGCATTGTTTAAATGTATATTGGTATATATATGTACATGTGTGTATGCATATGTTGTGGTTTTTTTTACTTTCTGTGTTATGTCTGCTCATTAAACAAAAGTTTTGGACTACGTAGTCTTCTGAGCTTTAATAAATACAGATGTGTCATGATACCAGATAATCAAAACAATAAAATAGCATCTTGTATTAAACTAGTTGAATAATTAGGTTCTTACCACTATGATTTTGTTTTAGAGACCCTCCAAAAAATCACTGCCTTTTTAGGTTGACAAACCTGACAAGTTTCTCAGTCTTAAAGGAGTTTAGTCAGTTAATTCTTCTGTAACACAACAACCCTTTTTTTTTTTTGCTAGTTTTCTACGCTGCATTAATTTGATCATGTTGTGGCTACAGGATTAAGCTGGCAAGGTGACATCTCACACAAAGATTTCTTCCAACAGAATTCATGAGCTAAAAATACATCTGATTGTTTTTGTATAAGTAGCACAATAGTTCAATTGGAATTCCCGTAACACAATTTTGCTTTGGTGCATTTGCCATTTACAGCCTTCCCAAATCCAAGTCAACTGTGTGTCAGTGGCAGAGCTGACTGTAGAGCTATCCTCCCACAGTGAAGCAGAGGACTATAATTTCTTCACATCAAGTCAATAATTCTGGTTTTGCTCTGGATCTGTTCATACACACAGAACTGGAAGTTCTACTATGAACTATTTTAATTACACAGGCCTGTTTAAGCTAGTTCATCTCCACCAGGCATCAGCTTGAAATAAAAAGTGAGCCAACTTTCAAGCAAGTTCAGTATAATTTTTTTTTGAGGATAAAGAAGTTGTAGATATTATATACAAAGTAAACACACATCACCTGTTGCTCCAGCTGTCAAGAATGTTGCCAAACAAACTAATCACCTCTGAGGCTACTTCTGTTCTTTCTATCTGAAACCAAAAGAGAACTGATTAAGCAGTTTGTGGTAAAGCCACTGCTCCTTATTCACAGGGTCCTAATGTTTTGG